GCGACTGTCCGCAGGATAAACGCGAGCGCGCGCGGACGGACTGTGGCATCATTGAGCGTTCCAGGTACGAGTGACGGTCTTTTTCTCGTCGAACCGGACGTTCCAAGCTACGGAGGATTCCGTGGCTGACGGGGGAGATCGGGTGCCCAATCGCCGCGTGCGATTGGGCACCTGATCCACGCAGATTCTCTCGTATCGCGGGCAGAACGCGGCGTCTTGGAAGCTAAGGGGATTCCTGATAAAAGGACCGTTTCCCTTTTCACCCGGAGGGTTCTGGTCGCTTCTGACGATACAATGTGCGCCTTCATGGAAGATGTAGAATTCCAAGGCAACAATCTTCGCGATCGAGAGACAAGAGTCGACTAAACGTGTCGCGAGTGACGCGACGGATCGACAGCCTTCGCTCTTAGGAACAGATTAATAGGACTGGCTTCGCGTATACACGTGCCGAGAGACGAGGAGTTGCCTCGACGCCGCTGGCTCAGCTTTGATCGAAAATGTAGATTGTTGCCTTTATTTTGCCTGTGTACGGTCGAGGACACGACCGTCGAGTTTGCTAGGTGGAAGAACGTCGGGAGAAAACAGAGGGAATGAGAAGGGAGAAAAATGTGATAAGAAGAAGAAAGGGAAAAAATAGAAGGGTGGAAAGGGACGAGGCGGCATATCGGTAAAGCGGCGCGGAAAAGAAGCAGGAAGAAAAATAGCGAGAAAAATGGCGCGTCGGAAAGTGGCGAGGAGGGTGAAAAGGGGGCGACGAGCTGAAGCGAATGCAAAGCTAAATACGTTAAGAGCGAACGCTTAAGTTTGTCTTTTTCTTTTGTATTAATGAGACTCTCGGAGGAGATCGATGGGGACTCTTTCGATTGTACGTTCGAACACGAGCAATAACTTGCGCTGAAAGTCGTCGCTCGATGACTTTCAGGCAAGCTGTCGTCTTGATTTCGGAAAACTTTCGGAAGCACATGAGCGATGTGTGTGACCGGTCGAGTTACTCGGGACCGGGAAAAGCCAGAGTGAGATTGCGTTAATACGCCCGCGAGGCGTCAGGAGTTAAAAAGGGACTACTAAAGGCAGCGCTCCTCTACTTCCTCGCAATCAGTTATATCGCATCGTTCCTCGCTCGGGTAGGAAACTAAGGCTGAGTTGCGCGCACGGTTTGAGTCAGCTAATCTTTTCAAGTTCTATCCAATACAAGGTGTTAAATGGAAGGAGAAAACCTCCACTGATCTCGATCCAATTATTCCAGGTTCCGGCTAGCGTCGGTTCTTCTTCTCTCCCCGGAAAAAGCGATGAAAGGGGAGTTGAAAGAAAAAGTTATTTTTAAAAGACCGATTATTTCTTAACGTTTACACCGAGAGTAGCCGCGGCACGCAATGAAGCGCCGATCGAAAGCCTCTTACGTAAATTTTTATCAAGTGCGACTGCACACCTTGCACGGACAGAGAGGGTGGCGTAATCGAGATTAGCGCTGACCGACCTTGGCGCAATCGGCTTTAAGAAGGCACAGTCGTTGAGTTAAGAACGTTAATATGCGGCTCCGGACACCGGAGGACGAAGAGCTTCCCAAAGCCGTTCGTTCGCATCGCTTTCGTCGGCCTCGGGGCGACGACCTCGACTCGAACGACCCCTCGTGCGCAGTGGATCTTGCGGAGAGGGAGAAGAGAAGATGGAAAAGAATGAAAGCAGCGGCGGCGAGGTAGTACAGCGCGTCTACTCAGCGATCGGAGAGTCCCGGGCGCGAGGGGGAGTCCCCGAACTGCAGGTTGGCAGGTAGCTAAGTGGTTATCGAGTGCGTTGCTGCTGCTGCTGCTGCTGTTGCTGTTGTTATTGCAGCGCTCTACGGAGCACAAGCGCGCCGGTTATTTCACGCTATTGTTCGTTCGTCTTTGCATCTTTTTATTTTCGTTTGGGCTATTTTTTTTTAAATTTTCGGGTTGAGCTTGCCTCGCGCGCTCGGTGGCGGCGGCGACGGAGTGTGGGATCACGCCTGTCGACGACCCACTCATTTATTGGGCCCACTTGTCGACGACCACCTCATTTACTGCAACATAACACACACGAGAACGATTAACGAGCGGCGGAGACCTAAGTGGCGAACTAAAGGGGAGGAAAAAATGTTGGACGGCCGGCTGGTCTTAGCAGCGCTCTCTCGAGCCGGCACCGCGTCGGTATCTTCCTCTCGATTTCGGCGGTCTGAAACGATCGGTCCTCGGATTAATCGGACTGACTGGGTGCGGGCCTGCTCGAACGAATGTACGGATCTCCCTCGCGAGAAGGAATGGTCACGAGATCGTCGTAGTTTTCAATTGACGTCGATCGGCGGACGTGTACGCAATTGTCCCTTTCTGCAAAGGAACATTGCGTCTCTCCCCGCTGTTACGAGCAGCCGCTACCCTTTCGATAGCGGAGCAATGACGAATAACGATCGAGTACGGCTTCCCGCGCGATTCGTGCCGAGCCAGTATCCCTCAACTTGCTTAAATCATCGCAATCGCGAGACGCCGTTAGAAGTCTACCGGTGCGTAACGACCCGAGCAACAATACCAATCGCAGGTGGACGAGGTCCTCGACGCGGCCGCAGTTAATGCTCCGATCGCCGTTCAAACTACACTCGTACATTCGTTCCCTTTTCTACTGGTTCGCCAACCCGCGGGAGATCGAGCCTGGGATGCCGATCGCCACGCGGACGAACGTGCGCGTGCACATGCGTGCGTGGGCCGGTGGTGCGCTTATCGCGGTGCGTGTTGTGTGTCGGTGGGAGGGGTATACTTTGTGCTTTCATTCGGGAGATTCGGTATTTTTTTTTCGCTGTTAGATAAACGTCTCCAATCCCTTCGAGCAGCTCGAGAGTCTAATGTGCTGTGGATCGCCGATTTCTCGGCTGCGGCCGATTGGGTGTCTCTCAGATTCGCCCTACGTCCCCACGAGCTTTATTTCGGCGACGTCACCGGCGGTGCCACTGCAATCATACGAGGGTAACATCGATTATTTCACCGCTGCGCCGAGCTGCCCCCCCAGCTGGCTCAGCTGCGGCAAGCCACACGGGCCTCTCGTCCAAGTCTACGCAGCGGGATGCAGAGCTGCTAGCCGTTGCAAGCCTTGGCGGGGGGTGTTAGCGCGGCGGTGTGCTTAATCGCGAGGAGAGATGGCAATTATTTGAAAACGAGCATATGTGTGTCTACGTATGTCTGGTAACAGATAAGCAGAGATACATGTATCACGATGAATCCTTGGGGAGCCAAGTATTTATATCGCACGTAATGGAATGCGTAATGTACAAGAAATTACAGTAGGGGGTGTTAAAGAGCGCAGACTGGACTCCATGTCACGTGGTTGAAATGTACGCGCGCGCGTACTGGAGAACGGAAGGTGCTCCGCGAGTCCCCGAGCCCTTTTCGGAATGTACATTAAATGAACAAATTATGCGCATTACGTGATAAAAAGGAGAGCGCACTTTCCTCCATCGGCAAACGGAAGGAATGGCTTAGAGCCCGTTAGTCGCTCGGTTTGCGGAATGCAGTGCTCGTGGACGGCCTGTGTATGGTATGTGTGTGGTGTTACAGCTAAACGTTAATCTCGTTAGTCTTAAAATTGACAAATTCAACGTTACCTGGGGCATCCGTGCACGCGCGTCCCGTAGTCGTCCTCGAAGATCGCTCTCCCCGTGTGACTGTACGGTTTGGCACACCAGCAGGCAGGGGGTGGTTAGCAAAAGAGGGTGGGTGTCGAGGTCGCGCGATGTGTCGAGGAACGTTTTCGGTGTCCTCGATTTTTTTTTTTAGGTCTCATTCCGGGTCGACACGACAGTTATCACATCGGTCTTTTTCCAGCGAACGCATGCAAAAACTTCAAACAGCAATCTCGAGGGGGCTGGGAGAACGGGGTACACCCAGTAGCCTTAGTAGACGAGAAAAGGACTCGCCGTGTACGCGCTGTGCCGAGAAACTTCGGCAGCCACGCGCGTTTTGCCTCCCGAGAGTCCTTGCCTCCACACGCAGCGGCGAGACATACAGGATGGTGCCCAAATCCTTGCGAACTTTTCCGTTTGTTAATGTCGAAAAATTGTAGGGGTTAACACAAGCGGAGAGCTGTCTTAATCATTGAATAAGAGGCAGGCCACAGTGCGCCGTTCGTCATCATTTTATTATACTAAAATACTAAATGTTCTCTCATATGCTCTTTACATGTATATACTTTTTTTTAGAATTGATTGATCTCCTTGGTTTGTCCAAACTTCGAACAACTGTCGCATAACTGTCATTCTGTATGTAACTTTGAAGACATCGTCTCGCCGAAACTTGAGTATCACTTTTTTACTTGTATAAATAAAAAGAGAAAACAAAAATTACGAATAAAATAGGAATTGAATTTTCTTTCCGACTTTCGAAACACATTCGCCAACCCTGTAGTCTCATGTAGCTTTAGATCTCACGCAACTCCGGCCCAACATCTGAATGTCTTAAGCCAGCTGGTGGATTACAATAAACATTTGGAATGTAGTAAAGTGAATAACAGACAACGAGAGAGAGAGAGAGAGAGAGAAAAAAGTCGAAAAGTGGTTTTAGGCTGGGGGCAAACTGAACCGAACGCCTATTACGACAGCGTCGTACTAAGCGTTCGATTTTTCTCTTCTTTCCTTCTTCCGATGGCGATAGGCTGTCGGACTCAAGCGAGAATTATTGCTTCGATTAGTAGGCCAATCGTCGGAGGATCGAGAAACGCATTAGTAACACATGATTCTTTTATTATAACAAGTAATGCATTATATATCATTCCGTCGTCATATTCTCTCACTTGTTATAATGTCGCTCCGTACGAAACTCAAATTGAATACACGACAAAGGCAAATCGGACGATAAATAAAACAAATTGCGAACACGGGGGGGGGGGGGCGGCGGAGGGGGGGCGGAGAGGGAAGTGGCGCGATAATTACATGATAACGTGATTGTACTTATCGTATATGCGTAGACTGGTTCGTAACCACGCGCAACAGTGTCGGATTCGTGTGTACAATTTCTCTTTATTTCTCCTTTTCTTTTGTCTATACTTCCGTCCTCGTCTCTATGATTCACGTCCGATTCGCACCCGGAATTATGTTCTATCCGTCGCCGCGGGGTCCGCGGCGAGGTGTATCGAAATCACTCGATGTCATAGTATTCCATAAGTTAATAATATTAATATTACTTCGTTATCGTTAGAGAAATAGGTACTTCCTGAAGGAAACGACGCGATCGTAGTCTCATCATCGCTGGACACCGCGTTCGAGGGTCAACGTCACGCAAGGATCAATGCCGAGCGTCTCCGCCGACTCGGGCTGATTAATTAATCAATCGGCGCGCGTATACAATTCGTCTCGCGGCGATCAATAAATTACAATTAATAAATATAATACGCAAAGAGAATAAATATGAATCGTTTCTTCCTTTTACACGGCATTACACCTCAACACGGAACGGGACTGCTGAGGATTGCGTCTTTTGGTCGCATCGATATCTGCGTGACATCGCGCAGTGTACTTTCGTCGTGATGGCACTACCCCGTCATTCTCGGTCAACGTAAAATATATTGCAATACAACGCACACTCAAGTACTTACAGATAAATCGTGGACGAAGTTGGAGATCCGGACGCGAGGGGACAACGAGCGACGAGTCTCGAGTAAACCGAGTTGAAAGAAAAAGAAAGGAAGAAAGAGAAAGCAACGTCTTCTTCGATTTGATTAGAAGGAGTAGCATATCCGCTTTGTCGAGATCACACCGGACTTTCGGCGAATCGCTGCAGCGATTCCGCAGCTGTTCGTCGCGCGTTTCCTTCGAGACCCGTCGCTCGGCTGGTCCTCTGCATCCGGGCCCCCCCGATCAATTTCGTCGAACTTATTGAGCGTCATAGAGAACTGCGTTTAGACTCCTCGCGCCGGCATTGAGCCCCGCACGCGTACCTGTGCCGCGATAACTGCGTCAATTATAACGCGATAACCCGATCGCGCGTCCGAACATCCGGATGAGCGGTGCACCCATTGTCCCGCGGGCACGGAGGGTGAACACGATAGTGGCGAGCGCGCCGGGACCCGGAGATTATTCTTGAAGAAATTCGAGATCGGTCTCCGAGGGCCCCTCAGTTAACGTCAACGCTCCCGAAGAAGAGGTCCACGCCAGAATGAATTCCATTCACCGGCGATAGTTAAATATATCTCGCGCACGCATCCCGCGATGATTTTTGTCGTCGTCTCGCCGCGGATGAGCCTTTCCCACGACCTTTCCCCGCGATATCGATGACAAACGTCGCGACACAGGTATCGATCGCGGGACGCAAAGCCGGTGGTTTAATTGTCTCGCGCTAAAAATTAAATTGCGGAACGAAACACTACTCGAGACACAAGTTCGTTAGTGCGGCAGCGCTAACTCGTTCGGTCTGATTAAGTTTTAATTATGCCCATACCAAAGTATCACGCCTTAACCGTTACTAATCAATTAATTAATTATATTACAATGTCGCGCCGCGCGACCGCGGCCGATTTCCTGAAGCCGCGGGGTGCGGCGCAATTAAATTAAATCGTGCGTCGTGCGCCGAAGGGGGGAGGAGAAGAGAGGGAGAAGAGAACGCAGCGGACGCGTCCGCCTCTCTCCGGAACACATCGTCAGTCTTGTTGCGTTTGCACGTGTTTCGCGGAGGAGCGTCTCGCGTGCGCTGCGTCTCGCGCGCTGACTTCGCGCCGATCTCTACGAGGATCCGGATGACACCTTGGACCGTGCGCTGCCGGAAGCGGAAGCGCGGACCGCTTACACCCGCGGTCTTTCACAAGACGACACGACTCTCTTGCCCTCTTACCGATTATCCATATTTTTCTTTTTTTAATCGAACGCAGCAGGAGAGCAAAGTTAGAAATGTCGTCTCGTAAAGGACGACGGCTTCACGTCGGCAAACGGGAAAGAAAGAATCGAGAAGTTGCCATTTCTATCAGCACTTAATCGAATTCGATCTTCCCTCTTTTATTAGCGGTCGCTTCCGCCGACAGGACACGCTGCAAGGGATGAACTGACTAAGCAGCCAGATGTATCGAAGGCCCACGTACTCGTGACGACACCGATTATTCGTTTCGTTATGTGGCTAAGGCAGTGACCGAATTCGCGTTCACTCAATCGAGAACTATCCTCGACTAATTAGGGAGCTTGCTCCCAAATCTCGAAGAATCGGCGATCGTCGTGCGAGACCGCGACGTTGGTTGGAAGTGAGACGACAAACGGGGAAGGTCCCTTACGCACAAACAAATGACCTTTTATCAATAAAACTAGTGCGGTTCTATGAAGCAGGATTATCGCCGATCCTTGACGAAATTCTACACATGATAAATGCCGCTAGTCAAACTTTCTTTTACTATGCGTTTAGCACATCTCGTCCCTTTTTCGTTGCCGATAAAAGAATCGACCTTTCCGATTTTATTCAACTAATCAAATTAGATCGTCTACACACATCTTAAATGTCTCGATATTTGAAGTAATTTAGGAGACGACTAGGTAAAAGTAAACTAATTCTTCTACATGTTTGAGAAAGAAATTAAATACAAAAAGATTTTCGGTAGCCAGGAATATAGAAAAGAGATGCGCCCAACTATCGCTAAATACTATCATCAAGGACAAATTTACTTTAAAAAAAAATCGATGCGTCGTTGAATTAATTTTATAATTAACGCAATAGCTACTCGACATCACCGTTGATTAAAAATGGATAATCAATCCCGACGATGAGTGTGTTTGCGTTCGGAGCACTGCTCAGATATTAACATGAGCGAATTCACTAGAAAATCTATGGACTGCCCCGTCAGTTTCGAGCGTACGAGAGAGGTAATGAGGTCAACTATTTTCCTCTGCTTAACGATTTGCCTTATCTTACACTTACGAGTCTTTGCAGTCCATATCCAGAAATTAGCGATATACGCGAATCTGTTGCATTGCGTAAATCTTTCAAATGCATAACTCACACGTACGGGTTTATACACACAGGGGACAGATGCTGTGTTCGCGAACCAATGCGAGAAATCAGAAGAAGCCCCGCTGTGCCAGTCGCGATACGCCTCGCTAATTTTGTCGCAATCTGTTTCGCTATCATCTATACCCAATAAAAATATATCATGATGTGGATATTTACAAAATCTCGCTTTACATTTGTCGCGCAGCGTCTACGACACAAAGTCGCGATAGAAGAATAACTCGCAAAGATACATCGTCCGATAAAAAATTAAGTTTTACATTTTCGCGTGAATGTTAAGAATATATCCTAACGTGAATGTGAAAGATGCGCCAAGTTAAAATGACCGATTGATCGCGTGGCACAGCAGAGGGCAGTACATTTGAAAAGAATAGATTACAACGAGAAAGGATCTTACGGAACGTGCTGTGTTAATTGTACCGTGCATGCATTATCTCTACGGGAAGGAAGACACGGTATGCAGAATACAAAATGAGATCCGTTAGTGCGAAGTCCTCGCATTTCCTTGAAATTTCAGCAAACGCTCAGACAGCTCCAGTTCTGACTTCAGAGTAGAAAGAGGCACACCAGACACTAAGAATTCATTAATAAATGTGATTTATAATAAGCAACATTGAAAGCAACGAAAAAGAAGTGTAAATGTATAGAGATTGTATGTTAATCGCGTAAACCGAATGTTGAATGCTAATTTGTTGCGTGCGTGCATTAAATTAAGCCTGAAAATATAAAATCAGGAGACAAATATAATACTACTGCTACTATCCGTTTCATCTGTGTTTCTGCCGAATGTTTTATTGTCTTCATTGTGTAAACGCGCGTATTACGCTACGAAAATGATACGTCGTAAGTGCGCATGTATGCGCCGAAACCGAAGTTACTACCCCCCGTATAGTTAGCGGGCGAACTACTTTGTACTTTCCAAATCGACCAAGATCAATAATACACCTCGAACATGCAAAGATATAAAAGTTTATGTCGTAGCATTACTAATCGACGAGAAACACAGACGAGAGACATGCATAAATTAATTTGGATTTTAACTGCGTTAGTGCATTATTAGGATCCGCTAATTACCAAACAATTACCAGATAATTTACCTGTTGCTAATTATACTGAAACGTGCATGATGAAAAAAAAAGTATAAATAATTGTGCAACAAGAGGAAAGGATCGGGACGTCGAACATAATTATTGGAAATATCTATATCGGAAAGAACATCTATGAACAGTTTCGTGTTTGTTGCAGAGGAAATTCAATGTTCAAAAGGCACTCGTAGAAAATAATTTAACGATCACAATCTTTGATTTACGACGGGGTCTCTCTTAGATCACTCGATGCCACTCGAAACCCGTGATCGTTGAGCGACGTCAGGGTACGGTGTGTGATGCGGGCATGGTGGGCCTTGGTGGCATATTTCATATATGATCGTACTAACACCATGCACAACAGTCAAACTTGTTAAAATCTCACTTGAACGCACTCTGTTAATAACTTATCTCGCGCCTTCCCGCGTCACGGTGGGAAGAGCTTCGGTTAAATGCAATTGCGAGTCCAAGGATTTAGTCGCGGATGCTTTTCCATAGGAAAAAAACATCGTCTGCTAGACTAATATTATTATTTCACGGACGTTCTATATGGGACAGATAAACAACAGTCCAAAGAACACAGCCCACATTAGAACGATCCAATGCACGGTGTAAATTGGATTCTCACCGTCTGTGATCTTTCTGGCAACGAACTTCAAGGTTTCGTCGAGAAGTACCACTGGAATGGAGAACTTCATAACGGTAACCCATTCTTCAAACGTTAGCGGGGTCACTTGGAATACGGACTGAAACACAAAAAAGTCAACGATGCTTACCAATTTTTACGCTTCAAATTAAAAAAGTAAAGAGTCCTCGGCTATTCGCTTCTGCAGTCTCAATGTAGATATTTGCTTACCGAAAGAACATCGACGTACAGGATGACGAAATGGAGTGTGAAAGAAAGAGCCATGGATGCGATGAGCCACATGTTGGACCAAGGCGGCATGGAGATGAGGGACTGATTCTCGGACAAGCTGTAGAGAAACGTAGATTTTATTACAATCTTCCGCGATTATTGTGCAAAATATATTATGAATCTCTTTCTCACCTGTTCATGGCATTCAACATTTCAATAGTGACCAACACAGAGAGAGCCATAGTCATGGGATGAGGATCGGCAAAGATCTTGCAGTTAATGCCCTTGAATTCGCTTCCACCGCCAATACATGCCAAGTGGTGAGTCTATATTTTATGCAAATAAGATGTTACTCAGAGAATAATTACTCAAAGTTTCAAATCTGTGTATAAACGAATGATCAAATTGTTGTCAAAACTTACCACTTGGTAGTAGTTCATTTGAGGGCCATTAGGACTGTACATGAACCACCAAGCAGCCGACCCGACAGTGGCAGCGCCTACATATCCACCGATAGCCAAGTAACGGAAAAACAGCCATCCAGAAATCAGAGATTCATCAGCTTTGCGGGGAGGCTATTAAAAAAAACGCACAAATTAATAAAACTTGCATTTAATGGCATGGCAGTGTATTTTTTTAAGTGTTATATTACTTTGCTCATAATGTCTAAATCGGGTGGATTGAAACCGAGAGCGGTAGCTGGAAGACCATCAGTGACCAAGTTGACCCACAGAAGTTGGACCGGAATCAGTGCTTCGGGAAGACCAAGGGCGGCGGTCAAGAATATACTGTGAAACAGAAGCATGCATAAAAATTCAACTCTAACTCTCCTTACTGCACTCCTATATTTCGTAAATACCTGACGACCTCGCCAATGTTGGAAGAGATGAGGTAACGAATAAATTGTTTCATGTTATTGTAGATGGCACGGCCTTCCTCTACAGCAGCTACGATAGAAGAGAAATTGTCGTCCGCTAATACCATCTCCGAAGCTGATTTCGCGACCGCAGTACCAGAACCCATAGCGATACCGATTTCAGCCTTCTTCAAGGCAGGGGCATCGTTCACGCCGTCACCAGTCTGTAGGAATAGAAACAATGCAAAATTATTTTGTGATCTTTTTAATTAACTTTTTTAAGTCATAAATATTTATTCTTTACGTTAACGTAATCAATATTAGACTAGTGGGAAATAAGGTATCTGAAACATGTACTCAATCCCAGGAAACCAGGAATAAACATCGCAATACTGTATTGTCCTGGAGGATAAGGGACCTACAATCTCTTTCATACAAATTGCAATTGTAAATCAAGAAAAAATTTAAATTTGCACCGCAAGATTTTTCCCTAGAAAGCCAAGGTTCAACTCGGAGTGTAGCACCGTTGATCGTAAATGTTAGAATATGAATAGAATGACTTACCATAGCAGAAATTTCATTCATGCCCTGTAAGAACTCTACAATCTTGGACTTGTGAGAAGGTTCTACGCGGGAGAAGAGGCGAGCTCTGGCGCAAGCCGCTTTCTGTTCCGACATCGGCAGATCGTCGAATTCACGTCCAGAGTACGACTTGCCAGTGGTATCCTCGTCCTCGCCGAAAACTCCGATACGTCGGCAGATAGCTTCAGCAGTGGCCTTGTTGTCGCCGGTGATGACGATTACGCGAATGCCAGCGGCGCGGCACCTTACAATTGAATCAAATACTTCTTTGCGGGGAGGATCAAGCATGCCCACTACACCCACGAACGTGAGATCCTTCTCGTATGTGTAGAATTTAGTGGAGTCGCCCAGATCCATATCGTCGGGCTTCATCGGGTGATCAGCGGTGGCGAGACCAAGGCAGCGCAGGGTATCTCTACCAGTTCCGTATTGGCGGGTCAGATCCAAGATGCGGTTCTTCAGGGTTGAAGTAAGAGGAACCTTCTGACCGCCGACGCGGCAATGCGTACATCTGTCCAATACACCTTCCGGCGCACCCTTGACGAACAGTTTCGATCCAGATCCCAGTTTCGTCGACTTCAGAGGCACGCAGTACGACGACATGGATTTGCGATCACGAGAGAACTCCAGCGTGAATTCCTTCTTCCACTTCGTTTCCATATCCTGCTTAACGACAATGGCGCCGCCTCGGCGATCCAAACCGCTCTTCGAGACTCCGTACGGATTGATTTTCTCGGCGAGAACGATCAGGGCAGTCTCCGTAGCCTCGCCAACCTTCTCAAATGCTTGTTTGAATTCGTTAAAGTCGATAGCTGAATCGTTGCACATAATGCAAATTGTACTGATCTCTTGCAATGTTTCATAATCAGAACCCTTGATCTTCTGTCCTCTCAAGAAAATCTCGCCGATAGGTTCGTAAGTTGATCCGGTAATTTCGAATTCGTGGAAACTGCTATCGTTACCCTCAATCTTGTCAAAAATGAACATTCTGTAAACAATGAAATATTTAAAGTTACCTGTACTGAACTAATATCTTTATTTAAATATGTAAGAGAGTGAAAGAGAGAATATATCCTTATATAATGTTCTAAAGATTAAAAAGTCAAATCTACATCTATGTTATAATAATCTTGTTTACTTAATCATCTTACCGGCTGACGGACATCTGATTAGTCGTCAAAGTGCCTGTTTTGTCGGAGCAAATGACGGACGTGCAACCAAGAGTCTCTACAGACGGCAAAGATCGTACGATGGCGTTCTTTTTGGCCATACGCCTGGTGCCCAGCGCCAAGCAAGTCGTGATTACAGCGGGCAAGCCTTCGGGAATAGCGGCGACAGCGAGAGCGACGGCAATCTTGAAGTAGTAAATGGCACCCTTGATCCAGGAACCGCCGTGAGCCGGGTCGTTGAAGTGGCCAATGTTGATGGCCCACACAGCAACGCAAATCACGGAGATAACTTTCGACAGCTGTTCGCCAAACTCGTCCAACTTCTGCTGCAATGGCGTCTTGATCTCCTCCGTCTCCGACATCTCCGTGCGGATCTTACCGATAGCCGTGTTTAAACCAGTTCCAATAACAACACCGCGAGCCTTCCCGGCGGCGACATTGGTACCAGAGAACAAGATGTTCTTTTTATCCTAGAGGAGCAGCAAAACAGAATCTATTAACAAACGTTCTCAGGAGTCGTAATCGTGAATAAACTATGCAAGCCCCATGAATGAAGGTTTTTCTTTGCAATTTTTTTCGAATATAAACTTTCATTTCAAAGACACGTCGTTGATACTTGAGAGATGACGCCAGAGAAAAAGTGGCGGAAATGTTTTTATACAGCTGCAGCTTTACCTGATTGACGGCGCGTGGGTCGGGCACAGGGTCGGTGTGTTTGATCACAGACACTGATTCCCCAGTCAGAATGGACTGGTCGATCCTGAGGGTAGTCGAGAAGATCTTGGACAGACGGATATCGGCCGGGATCTTGTCACCGACCGACACCTCTACAATATCGCCGGGTACAATCTCTTTGGCTCGAATCCTCTGGACGCCCGATTTGTCCCCTCGCACAACTTTACCCATCTCGGGTTCGTACTCTTTGAGCGCCTCGATCGCAGACTCGGCATTTCGTTCTTGCCAGACACCGACCACAGCGTTGGCAATGAGAATGAGCAGGATGACGAAGGGTTCGACGAAGGCCGTGAACGCATCCTCGTGCTCTTCAAATAAGGCTAATACCTGACGAAACATAAGCCCTACATCAGAGAAACTTAAAGAATATAGAGAAATTCAATACAGGCTACGTTTCTCAGATTGTTGAATGATTTTGTATTTCTTCGTTCACATTGTCACCTTTGAGCAATTTAGCTAATGATTAAAACTCTATAGAAAATAAACTCTCCAAGAATTAGTGAAAAAATACACAGTACCGACCAAACGTATATCACCTTTAGGTTTTCTGACCATAACTTCCGTCGAAGTGCACCGAATGTGCTGAAAATTTTACAGTAGACACCTGATAACAGGTACATCTTGTACACGAAAGGTAATGAAATTCGACAAAGTACATCATGATTTTCGAATTTTTCATTCGAGCACTTTAAAATTAGTTATGCTAAAAAAATCGAAAGGTGATATATTATTGGCCGGCACTGTATGCAATTTTCTCTCTCAGTCATCGCAGCAATATTTAAAAACATACATATAAAAATGTATGTTAGCAGGAGATAAATTTTCAAGACACATACATCGCTAAAAAAGCTTTTTTTTCTCTAAAAACTGTTACATCTAACGTAATGGTAAGCTATGTACTTAATTTTCACAGTTTATAGATCACACTCCATAATGAATGTTACATATTTCTCTTATGCGCTCAGAGAAAATCAGATCACCACGGCTACTTGAAATCAATATGCTATTTTTTCACTTCTCGTGGAAGATATATTTAGCCTCATTTACCCTTGAACCCCCGTAAACATATAATTACGGTGCTTTTAACGAGGTGACATGCACCGGAAAATTCGACAAGAAAAAGAAATCTCACAAACTCACTTGACAGTCTCACAATTTTTGTATTTAAAAGATTTGATTATAAACTACTTTTTGTTCACAAACCTCGTCAGCGAATAATAATATCAACCATGCATATCTAATAAACTTAATTTACATTGTTTTGACTTCTTTTTGCGTTTGTCTCGGAAGAAGTTCATTTGTTACGCAAAGTTTTACGCCGGTTTAAATTTTATAACATATTACTATTTGTAATTTTTTAACGTGGCATCTATCGAGTTATTATACTTACAAAAGAAATAATAGCAGCTAATAGAAGAATCTTAACTAGAAGGTCATCGAACTGTTCCAGGACGAGTTGCCAGATGGACTTTCCTGTAAGCAAAAAACAACTTGTCAATAATCTCACGCGATGCAAGGAACTCTCTGAAAGTCAATCGGTGCATTGCCACTGAAAAAGTCTATCGGTGAATATTCACTGCTGTCAGTGATAATCCGCTGGTTGACTTTTAGAGAGAAGGTTCAAAGTAAACTCGGGTGTTTATCAGTACAATGAAAATTTTTCATGTAAAATAATACTTACATATACATTCGATATATATAAGTATTTGGAATTTAAGTTTATGAATAATTTTAATATTACTTTGTCTAATGTGTCACCGATCGTTGCGACAAATTGGCATAAAACTTCACATTCATAAGCTGCAGTACTCTATTACCTCAAATTACACTTTTAAACTTTGTTAAATAATATAATACAAATACTCAAGTCTAATCGTGCGAATATATCGATGTTCGTTTTTAAAAAGTACACTGTAAAAAAAAGGACTCTATTAATTACAGCGTATAACAATGAAATCAATACTGAATGCGATTGTTCAACAATACCTTATTGTTACGTGACCTTGCATTATTACCAGCAACATAATAACGCTCGCGAGCAGTACATCTCATTGACATAGTTTTACGTACGAGGAAAAAATATTTTCTCTCGAGTAAGAATCATGAAACCATTGCGGTAAAATTGTAAGAAAAACTGTCGCGTCTCTCATCTTATAACAAAATAAAAATACATTTAATAATCTACACGCGTCGCGTATTTCGCACAAGGGATGTCGCAAATTCAGATAAAGTATTATTTTATCTTAATCCTTGCGTAGAAATGATTAAACTATCCGTCTTTATTCTGATTTTGTTAAGTAATTGGAAAAATTCAATAACCCGCAGCTCCAATGCGACATTTGTACGTGCTAATCTACAGATCTCTAGTTTAATCGAGAGCAACATGTGTTTCGTATACACGAGGAGCTAGTTTGGTATCCGTAAGGAAAGAATTTTCGTCACAGGCACGTCGTTGAAGAAAATACATTCTAGTGTGTGCGTCAGGAAAGGATAAAAATTATAAAGTAGTCAGGGGCAAGCCCTGGGCGTCCTTGATGGCTGGCGTCTTTTGCCTGCACGCGATTGACGTCATTGTGCTCCACGGTTGACGATTTCATTAATTGTAATTTACAGCAGCCGCCGAAGAGACGAGCGAAAATTCGATTGCACGGCAATTGTGCAAGTAGCGCGCTCCCTTTCTCCAGTTTCTTCTCATTTTCCCCCGTTGTACCGCTCTCCTTTCATCAAGTTAGATGACATGTTTTTTTTCCCTCTTCTTGAATGGCTCTAATTTTTCAAGATTGCAAACGAGGGCAAAAGGTAACAAAATTTGGCAAAATAATACTTCTTATTGCAACGAGGTCTAAAAGACCAACGACAGTTGATTCTTAGCAAAAAAAATTAGACCATGTTGATAATAAACGAAACGTATGTCGATAGGAGCCAACGTTTCACTCGCAGGTCGGAAGACGAGTGCGAATAAAAAGCGATTTGCAAAATCTAATTTCCAAAGCGGGACTTTTTAAATAATTAATTAAACAGTTAAGTAATAAAATTGCAGTTTCACACTAAAAACTGTCCGTCACCGGATAAACGCTTAATCGCTATTAACATAAAAAAAAATGAATCAAGCACTTAAGCGCCAGCAGTAAATGTTTCGTTCAGCCGATACGTTCGTATGCCGTTGCGTGGATGTAATCGCGATGACTCAAAAGCCAACGACGTTTAATTAAGTAGAATCAATAAAATGAAAATTTAAACAGCTAAACGCGGAACAGCTCGAACGCTCAGATAGTCAAAATTGCGTTACGTAACCGTAAAGTTCAGCCCAAAAGCGCGCAACTCCGCTCTCTGCAGCCGACTAGTTTGCAAACTGCAAACCTAATCGTTGAATTTGGCGAATTATATAAAATATAAACATTCCTACGCGCGTGCACGGCATTAATGTGGCACGTTAAGACCACTTTTTGTGTCTTAATGCGCGCCTTCCGGCGGCGCGGGCGCGTTGCATGCGTACGTTTCGTTACATAAATTGCACGTAATATCGAAGTGCACATTCCGCCGCGTCTCGGAAATTAATATCGCGGTCCGACGTGCCGCGCACAGTGCTGCAGAGCAGCGCGGCACTTCTCCCCGTCCCCGCGCTTTTCCCTCCTTACTCTCTCACCCACGTGCATACGTGCAACATGCTTCATTACCGGATTCAGCGTGCGACAATAGGCGTTGTCAATCGGCCGATAGAGCGTGTGGCGTACACACAGAGAGACCCCGGCGGCGTGCACGTGTGCGCGACGGGCGGAGCGCGCGGAGCGACGATTACAGGCGGTTGTGCGTTCGTAACCGCGCGATTAATTTACGGCAGGAATCTCATTAATATGACCTTGATCGCGCTCTCCTCCGTCACGGTTTCAGGATTAAATAAAGTGCGACAGTGATCCAATATGCGGCGTGTCCGACCGACTTGGACCCTTTTCGCTTCAAGGGAGAGCGCGCCCGCCGCCGTGTTCCCTTCCCTCTTGCGGTACGCGAGCTCTCGCCACGGGTCCGCGAAGGGAGCCTCGTCGGAAATCACCGCGTGCAATTTGCCGGCCGAAAACGTCGGATGCCATTTCTCGAGAGCCGCCGAACAATGCTAATCGCCGCGAGATCAAGATCGTTGATTCAAATGACGGCAATTTGGGCCCGCGAAGAAACGACGTCTATTCACTCGTGTGCAAAGAGAGGTTTAGGGTAAGGCGACCAAATTCTCGGGTCAACAATTTCACGAGTCGCTAATGAGCGACATACAAACACGCATATGCCTTTTATGATGTCGACAATATAGCATAAAGTTGTAAATGTATAAAAGAGCAAAATTTAAGCGAACGACTTTAAAATGTCGCTTATCGGCGACTCATCAGATTGTTCATTCGCACTTGGTCACTTTACTCGACTTCCGTACGGGCTGCGCGAAAAAAATCGCGTGTCGTACGAGAAGCAGCACGTCTCTCATCATCAAGCTAGAAAAAAAAGCTTCACTTGTACGTTATCAGAGGAAGTTGATGAAAACTCGTCTCGGGATTTGGATACGATTGCGTTCAAACGGTATTAATTCAGTGACGCCACGGCCTATCTTATCGTCTACTTATCTTCGATAAGGCCGAAAATATTTATTATTGGCAGGTCCGATCCGCCGATTACTTAAACTTAAAATATCACGCGTAATAAGTGCGTTTTAATAGCACGGTCGCTCTACCTCTCGCGTAATTGCGGAATGCATGGATATTGACTGCGGTCGTGCGCGACGATACAAATTGTACGCCTGCGATCGATCTGAACGTCAACGTCAGCTGTCAACGCTTCTGTGCCGACTTGATTACGATTTATACCAAGTCGATTCCCGCGACTCGATTTATTCGCCGAGATCCAGTGCGCACTTTTGCAAAACGTAGAAAAAATTCGTCTCTCGAGTCTCTCTCTCTTTCTCTCTCGCTCTCTTCTTTTTTATTTACGAACGATAACGCCGAGCCGCAGCTACGGCGGGTCGATCCGTCGCCGAAGGTCGGCTGAAAGATAGCACGAGCCTCCGCGCGGGTCGAGTGCAATGCCGATGCAATTACGAGCCGAGTCGAAGGCGCTACGCGCTGACGTCTTTCGACACGGGTAAATGGGGCAAGTGGCCTGATACCTGGATCCTGCGAGAGTCCCCATATCAGTCGTGCTTTATATCTATATATGTATTTTCATCCGCCGTGACATTATTCTACATCTAGGACGCTTTACCGAGCGTTATAAGCCCGATCTACAATGTGCTCTTTGCGTCTAGAAACATTTTACTTTGTGGCCGATAAATACGTTTAAAGAAATTTGTGCAAGGTGATAAATTGTACATTATACATCGTGCAATCGTGTGCTGTCGACAAATTTTTCAAGCGTTTTGATTCGCTTATACAGGGTGTTATGTAATATCCGTCTCACCTCTCATTTTCCGAGATTTATGGATAGAGCGGACTAGAGACTGAGTCGAAAAGTCCTCCACCATTTTGCAATTTTCGCAATAGTTAACGAGTTATTAATTGTTAAAAATCGCTGCCTTAGCCCGGCCTACTGCCCAATTCAAAGGCGCGGCGAGATGCGGCCGCCCTGCGATTGGCGTTGCTAGTATAATAAACAACTCTTCGCGCGCCTAGCAACGCCAATCGTGGAGCGCCTTTGAATTGGGCGGTAGGCCGGGCTAAGGCAGCAATTTTTAATAATTAATAACTCATTAACTATTACGAAAATTGCAAAATGGTAGAGGACTTTTCGATTCAGTCCAGTCCGCTCTATCCGTAAATAAGAGGTGAGGCGGGTATTACATAACACCCTGTATAAAACAGAATGTCATCTGTGATTGTACAATGTATCACTTTGCACGAATTTTTTAAACGTATTTATCGACTAGGAAATAGAATATTTCTAGACGCAAAGAGCACATTGTATAATAGATCAGGCTTGAAAGTCATTCAGGAAGGAGAACATTTTGGAAAAGATCGTTTTTCAACTGTATCAGATTAAGTTTATCGAAACGGACTTTTAATTCTAGAGAAAAATATATAGAGTCGCTATAAAAAGTATTTATCAGAGAGGCGATCGAGAAAGGACGAGAAAGAGCGAGCCCGAAGGATCTACGCGCGACGTTGCGTTCAAAGAGTTTCGAATGTAGAAAGCATTCGGCATAAAGAGTGTTGAATAAACAGTAATTTTTTCATATGCCGAATCTATCATATTCCCCGCGTCTTATTTTCTGTACGTTAAAATAAAAGATACTCACTCCACGCATATTCGTCTTCCGTGTTTTTCTCGATTTGATTAATTGCTATTTGAGACTCCTTGAATCTCGAAGGCGATTTCGGCGCTTTTGTCATCCGCGAGCCGCGAGGATCAGATCGATTTGTCGCATTCGCATTTGTGGATGCATGCGACGCTAATTCTCGAGGCTTACGAAATTCCAGGAACAAACACGCTGGCCTACTTCGGCGCAGCGAAAGCCTCTCCCGCACGAGACCGAGGCTTGTCGTGACAGGCGAGAAGAGTTTCGGAAACTTATAAATTACAAATTAACGTTTGGCTCGATACAAACGCGGTAGAGTGACGGCTCGATACGAAGACGGATTGTAAAACGGGGAGAAAAAAAAAGAAGATGAGTTTCCGATTTACAAACTTGTTTTGCGTCGAAAGTAATTTGTATGCCAATCTGTCGCAAACCTGTTTTCTACGTCAAAAGGTGATGGTTCGTCGGTACTCACCCTCCTCGGCTGGCAATTCTGCAACATAAAGAAAGGACAACGTTAGAATTCGCCTCTACAATTACAATGGAACATTAGAATTTGTTTGTCGAATAACAAAATGAGCGGGGACTTAAATCGGCATGATTTTAATAATCGTTGCCGCAAAATGCATTTCTTATATAAGTTTCAAGTAGAAAAGTTTAGCAATTAGCTTTTAACAACTTTACGACAATTTTCACATACGAATAATCGTCTGAAAAGTACATCCGGGAGAAAAGTATTCTAAAATTGTTGTTTTGAAAAGTAAACGTTGATCGCTTCCGCGAACGTATGAAAATAATATGCCCAATCCAAGGTGTTTAAACGCCCTGGACGGGTCTGCTTTAAGGTGTCCTAGTTTAAATCATAGCCAAGAGTCCAGAATCCCATAATTTGACGCGGACAAATTGAAGGAAACCGCGAAAACGAATTTGGCGTGCAAAATGGGCGTGCCTAGCGGTTGAGCTGAACGTGGGGGTGACAGTTTTTGAATGTTGTTGAAGATTTATAGTAGACGTTACGGAGGTCTTTTTCGCTGTAACGCGAGATAGATCGGAGTTTTACAGAGACCTATTTCGAAATTGCGGGATCTCGCGTATTATTTCGCACGTATTAATATCAGTTTCTAAAAGCGTCCATCCCGAGAAACGTAATAGGCGATTACATCGAAAGGTACTGCTACGAAGAGAGAATTTTCTTTGAAAATTTATCCTGAAAATCATTGTGGGACAACATGGCATTTCGAAGAATTTTATGAGAGTTTTTCAACTTTTCTCATACATTTTACTAGTACTTATAGTTAGTATACATTTAATTAGTAAAATGTACCGTAAAATTTCAAAAAACATACAGTTCTTCAAAATACCACGTTGTCCCACGATTACACGATTTTCAGGGTGAATTTTAAAAGATTCTCCCCGTGTAAGACATCGCGAAATTACGAACACAAAGGTAGCCCTCGGAATAATCGACGTTTGAAAGAAAAAGTCCATATCGAACGCGCGCGCGAGATCAGAAGCGAAACTCAAATAATATCGTGATTACCCGAGCGACGTCGATATAATATTAAAATGAATTCGCTATAACGCGGCGCCATAAGGTCAGATATTTTGATCATACACGGGAGAATCCCCGATCCAGTTTAATCCGCGAGGTCGATTACTCTTTCGAGCGTTCATTAACGTCTCGAAATTGGGTGTGTGTGGGCGATCGCGCGTCTCCGCACGTTCTAATAGCGCGATCGTATAAATATTTACGCGTCCCGAGCAGGCAGATCCTCTCGTAAGACGATCCGCTTAAGAAAACCGGGTAAGATCGCCATCGACCGGTATCACCGGTCGTACACAGGTGTTCCAGATTCATCTAAATTCCAAATTTCTCACTCGACGCGAATCTTTCTCTCCTGGATAAAAGTCTCACGGGGACGCCGTCTTTTTCCGCGAGACGCACCCCTGGCCTTCCAAGTAAAACGTCTCGCGTATTAGCCTAGCACAAATTAGCCTTGCAAATTAGGATTAGGAGTCGCATCGCGCGGCGCCGTTTACCTAGAAATACATGACGTTAGACGGATACGTTTTGCTTGGGAGAGATCGAGAACGGATGCGGGAGAGGTATCGTGCGCAGTGTTGGAAAAGCAAAACTGTCTATCGACGCGAGAGCGGCCTGCCCGCCTCGCGATACGCGCCGAGTGACACGTGAGGAAAAACAGAGACACGTGGGAGTCATTGATTCGTATACTGGATCCGCAATAGATTTTTCCTTCAATGGCCGTCCCGCGATTGACGTGTTCAACAGAGGACACGTCGCTTCCCGTTGAAACGCACATCGGCGAGCAGGGGGATTCTGAAAGGCCGCCGCGTAATCCTCGGACTCGCGCGAAAGCGTTTGTCGCGCGAACAATAGCTTCAATTTCACATCGATTTGCACCGCCGCGAAGCCCGCTAATTCGCGCGCGAGCATTATATCCCGGTAACCTAGTATCGAGACGTGATATCGATACGAAATTGATATCGAGACACCGAAAAAAAAAAGGAAAACATCTCGCGTGGAAAGGAAGAGATCGACGTCTTTACGAATTATTTCCAACGATCAATTTTCGATAACAGATTTCGCTTAAAGAGAAAAGGTACAATATTCTATGCGGAGAGAAGTTTTTCTTAAAATTTATCTAAAAATCGTGCAATCGTGGGACGACGTGGCATTTCGGTTGATCATAGAAATTTACCATACATTTTGCTAGCGAAACTTTAATTTTACCATGCTAGCAAAATGTATGGTAAAATTTGAAAAACTTAGAAAATTCTTAGAAATGCCATGTCGTCTCATGATAGATGGTTTCCAGGAGAGAAAATTCTCTCCCCGTGTACTGAAGCTGTAATTATACACCTACACTGAGAAGAATTTCATCGGATAAACCAATTAAATAGCGTTTCTAACGGTCAATTTTCGATAACAGATCTCATTTAAAGAGAAAAGGTACAATATTCTGCGCGGAGAGAAGTTTCTCTTAAAATTTACCTGAAAATCGTGCAATCGTGGGACGACGTGGCACTTCGGTTAATCATAGAAATTTTACTATAGTACATTTTATTAGCAAAATGTACGGTAAATTAAAAACACTTAGAAAATTCTTCGAAATGCCACATCGTCTCACAATTAGATCACTGAGAAAAATGACCGATTAAATATAATCGGATAATCCAATTACATGATAACAAACGGATATATCCGATTAAATTGTATATCCGATGAAAAATATGATCGGTTTTTCAATCAAATTTCATCGGTAACTGCATTTCATCGGATAAATTTCATCGGATGTATCCATAATTTAATCGGAAAACGTAATCGGAAAAATTATCCATCGGAAACACTATTTAATTGGTTTACCCGATGGGAATTTTTCTCAGTGATAATTTCCAGGGTAAATTTGAAGAGAAAATTCCCTCCGTGTACTAAAGCTGTAATTGTATGTACACCTACACTGAGAAAAATTTCCATCGGATAAACAAATTAAATAGCGTTTCCAATGGTCCATTTTTCCGGCTAACTTTTCCTTTATATCCGATGAAATGCAGTTACCGATGAAATTTGATCGAAAAACCGATCTTACATACAATTTAATCGGATATATCCGTTTGTTATCAAGTAATTGGACTATCCGAGTATATTTAATCGGATATTCCTCTCAGTGCATATAAAACTCCCGTGAAATACAACCAACGGTAAATTTTCATAAAACCGTGGCGTACTCGCGCGATACGCTCTCCTTCTAAGATCAAGGATAACAAAACCAACGTGATCAATATTCAATGCTGCAGAAGAAGCGCCGAGGATACTCTCGTGGGAACACCTGGGGGGGAGGGCAACACGACTCTCTCCGGCGAGTAGCATCGATCGCGTTTTACGCACACTACGAATACGGGGAGTCGGCTAACGGGGAGGCCGTACTTGCTGGACGGAAGCAAATGCGGCACGATCGCAGCGGACAGGCGGGAATAGGTGCGGAAAAAGCCGGGAGAGGTTTCCCCGGCGCCGTGCGACAGCGTCAGGGGTGCGGATTATCACGCGACAGTGAACGGCCGCACAAAGCCGATAGAGACGCGCGCGACAAACAAATCCGCTGGTCGTGCATTGAACGTGCGCGCCGCGCGCCGTGCACGTGCTAACTTTAGCCGGCGAACTTACGTCGGGACGATTCGCGTGGAACGAGGTAGCGGGCGAGTTCCGGGGCGTCATCCGGACTTTTTCGGCGGGACCCTCGTCGAACGGCGGCGGATTTAAACCCGGTTTCATCAAATGTTGCTTAACTTTAATCTTAATTTAATTCACGTTTGTCCCTTTCTAAGGTAACAGTTGGAGAGAAACAAAGAACGAATTAAACTGAGCTTAAAGTTAAGCGACGTTGGTGAAACCGGGCCTTAATTGGTCCAAGTTCTAGCATCGTGGACGCAGGCCTTTAGAGAGAGCTTGATTTGTGTAAACGGACCGTCAAACATCACGCCTCGGTGGAAATGTATGTGCCGAGGATTCCCAAGGATTTCCCTGATGCGAAAATGTATTTCGCGTAGAGGCGCGTCACGGCGAAAAATGAGAGATAAACATTGATAAACGACACATAGAAAACGGCTAATGCGGGTCTAAGGCAAGACGTAGGTAGCCTACACTTGTAATTTATTAAAATGTCAATTCATATGCCGTTTCTTCATCAATGATAGATAAGTTTGGCGAACGCTGTGTCCACCAAGTCGTGTGGAATATACAGGAAAAATGCGAGGATGTCAAGGTGTAAGCGGGAACCGTGTAAAATCAGCCTACAGGTGTTTCGCGGGTTAATAGCGATAAATAGTATCGCGAGATGAGAATTTTCCTTCTTTCTCCGCGCACTTCATTTGTCATCCGCGTGACAGCTTGATATCGAGAATAATACGCAGTTGATAAACGACGGAGATAAATTCCGTCGTGTACGCGAAATAGATGGACGCGATACACAATTTCCACGCCTAAGGTCGTCCGTGAAACTAATCTGCAACTGCGTTCGCGATGGAGGAGGCCCTCATTACGTGCACGAACGAGCAGCGTTAATACACGTGTATATCGAGTGCTTATTTGTATGTTATACGGCGACACTCGAGCGCAGAGAAGATAAAACAACGTTGTTTAAGCATACTCGACGCGGCCACTCGTACCGCGCGGAAAACTCTCGATTACTTGGCGCTCGGGTACCCTTAATCGCAATACATTTCGCGTGACTCGCGTGACAAATACGCGAACGTATTAATTTTTTCCAAAATTCCGTGTACAAACTGTCCGACGGAACGTCTGCCCGGCGAACTTTGCATATCTTGTAGGCTACAGTAGAATTTTCATTATTGCAAGCGTATAGAGGAAAGTCTCCTATTACGAGATAGGATCCTAATATGGGATAGCGGGATTTCTGTTAAATCAATATGCATCATCGGTTGATTCCACCATGAATTTATTGCCCTCGGGACGAA